CTTTGAGTTATTACGTGTTTGTATATGCCATTGATCTTTATTTGCCGATGCCTGTGGGGTCTGAGAGAGGCCGAAGAGACTAAAGTAAACAGAACATGAGGGATTCTTTGCAACCAATCTCAGCAAATCTGGCTACTGTGTCATCTTTTTACTGGATCCAAAATGGAGCTGCCCACAGGAACCCATCCTCAGTCAGAAATCAAGACCAGCAAGACTAGGCCTCTTTGGATCAGCATGATCCTGCACATTGTAAAGCAAGTTTAGACAAGAATTGGTTTTATGTTTTTTTTTCGTGTGCCTTTTCTATAAGGTTTGTTAGTGCCATGCTACACTTTTTCTACATTTAGGTTGTTACCTCTTCCTCCCTTAATTTTTTATAGTAATGGTGCTCTTGTATGGATTCCTTGCATTCCTTTTCTCATATCTGGTTGATAAAAACATGAATAATGCAACTCAAGACACTCCACTCGGTTTATGCTAGATAGCTCATTTTGTGGAATGCATTTACAGCTATTCAATAGTAAGCATCATTATTTTACACCATAACGTGTATTTAAAGCTGTTTTACCTAATCTCTTTTCAGCCTAGAGAGTCTAGTGAGACAACAAACAAACACCATAAGCTGCTCCTAACCTCTTTGCCCCTTAATTTTCCTAGCAACGACAAACTATGGATGCAAACTGTGCAAAATGCAGCCTCCAGTCCAAAGCTAGAATTAGCTTTTAATTGACTAATGAGTAAATTTGTCAGTCCAGTAGAACACTGTTAGGATTGGGTTCTCACTGGGAGGTGAGTGACGAAGACAGATAGGACTCGGATGCTAAAGACAAGATACTAGTCAGAATCAGATGATATAATGAACAGACAGTCAAGCCAGGTTGGAGAGTCTGGAGGGCTCGGTCTGGGTTGTTGGATTGGTGGTGTGATAGGTGTGGGATCCAGGAAGGTTCGGGAGAACCGGAGCCTGAGAGGACAGAGACGGAGAAGATGTGATGATGCACAGCTGAATTAGCACTCATGGGGACTGGACGAGGAGCCGGTGGTGCTGCCAGGGGTTAAGACTGTTGTACTCAGCTGAAGTAGAGCAGTGAAGGTGTCCTGCAATCTCAGGCAGGAGGACAAGCCCGTGATTCGGCAAGATGTTTGGCTAGGAACTGCTGTGACGTCTGTACAGAGGTGGCTGGGAGTGGATGACAACCGTACCAGGAGGTGAGGAGCTGCAACAGGCTACACGGAGGTAGGAGCCTTTGTAGACAGCACGGAACCAGATGTGTTGCTACGGTGTTGCAGGAGAGCTCACTGCTGGCTGGTTAGAAACACAGACACTGGAGGAAGATCACTCGGCTATCCCGAGAATGGGGAGCAGCGCGAGCGCCTGGAGAAGTCACAGCTAGTGATGGACACCCGAGGCTCTGACACATGCATGGTATTTCATGAAGTAATTGTATTGAACCACTGTGCCAAGGCGTGTATTGGTCACGTGACTAGTGGCGTTCGAAGCACTTAAGTGCCTCGGACGTCATACAATACAGCTGATTGGTTCGGTTTGTCATGTGAATAACTGGGATAGAGTGTGTTCAGGAAAAGGATATCCCTATTCAGTAGCGTTCATTTGAATTTTTCTTTGCAGAGCAGGTTGGTTGGTTGCTGTTGTTGCCGTTAGTTGCTTTGAGAGTTAGTAGGGTTGTATCAGATTGTGTATTTAATGAGAATCACTGTAGACAGAGAGCTAGATCAATAGATAGCTAGATAGTAAGTTACATAGAGAAATAGATAAATTAGTGACATAGTTAGATAACACTAGATAGTTATAGTTACATAGATAGTCA